CTGCAATTTAGTTAATCCTTACCTGATGGGTTTTTTTGGCAATGTTAGCTTGTGTGGGAATGGAGAGGCTCATTCCTTACAGGGTGTGATTGGCAATTGGCCAATTGCCCTCTTTTTTCCCATATTCTGCCTACCCTTCCCCAACAGTCTCCATTGACTATGCCTGAAGTTACACAGTTAAAGGTTTGGTTATTTCAATGGCTTAGTTATTGCTCTACTGATCTTTTTAAAAAATACAAACACCCTTGGGAGAAGCATACTTAGCACTGTTGAATCACCAATACCCTGGCTAAACAGATTCCTTATCAGATATTTTTCCCCTTATAACTCAGAGCAGCACTCAGCAAAAAGGGAATCAGAGGCCTAGTGCATCCCCCACAGTCATCAGTTACTTAGTTCAGAGCCTTAGTTTCTTTATTTAAAAAAAAGAGAACAATGGGCCAGGATCAGAGGCTTATGTCTATACTCTCAGGACTTTGGGAAGCTGAAGGAGAAGGATGATTTGAACCTAGGAGTTTGAGACCAGCCTGGGCAACGTGGTAAGACCCTGTCTTAACAAAACAATTAAAAAAATATTATCTGGGTGTGGTGATGTAAACCTGTAGTCCTAGTTCTTTGGGAGGCTGAGGCAGAAGAATCACTTGAACCCAGAAGTTCTCTAGGCTGCAGTCATGATTGTGCCATTGCACTGCAGCCTGGGTGAGAGAACAAGGCTGTCTCAAATAAAACAAAACAAAAAACCCAGATATAAAAATTTTAAATAAAATTTAAGCACATCAAATTTAACATTATATAAAAAGAACAGTACTTTATAACAAAGTCAGGTTTACAAGGGGCTTGCTCTCTAAAAACAGCCTTCTTTGTTCCTCATAGATTGTAAGTCTGTATTTGTAAAGTCATAATTTCTTGTGAGAAGATGAATTGTATGCGTGACTATTTTACTGTTGGTTACTATTGCATCTATCAATTTGGGGAGAAATGTATTAGAGACAAAATAAGCTGGTTTTAATCCTAAAATAAAAGAAAAGAGAGAGAACAATGGTGGTGGTAACATCTGCCCTGCCAGCCTCCCAGGTAGAATCACAAGTGGTGGGTCAGGTGACTCTGAGTTTGCAAACATGAAACACAGCAGCATTTGAGGAACCTTCATAATGTGCTTGACACTGTTTAGGGGTGCAAATAGATCATTTCACTGCAACAGCATGCAGATTTGAAAGGTCCTATTTTCTACATAATTCCTGTGGGAAAACACAAAATGGGTTAGATTTTTTTCCCAACCTCTTGTTATAAAACTTTTCAATCATATATAAAAATTGAAAGAGGACTTTCACCAAGATGGCTGAATAGGAACAGCTCTGGAGCACAGTTCCTAGTGAGAGTGAAGCAGAAGGTGAGTGATCTCCACATTTCCAACTGACGCACCAGGTTCATCTCAATGGGACTGGTTGGACAGTGGGTGTAGCCCAAGGAGGGCAAACCGAGGCAGGGTGGGGTGTTGCCTCACCTGGGAAGTACAGGAGACCAGAGAACTCCCCCTCCTACCCAAGGGAGGCCATCAGGGACTTTTCCAGACACTCTAGCACTCCAGCTCAGATCCTGCGCTTTTCCCAAGGTCTTTACAGCCCAGAGACCAGGAGATTCCCACTGGTGCTGACAATACCAGCATGGCAGGTTTCCAGCACAAAACTGGGCAGCCATGTTAGCTGGTGCTGCAGGGTTCCAGCAAAAACTAGGCAGCTGTTTTAGCCAGTGCCTGGAACACCTGCAAGACAGAACCACCCATTCCCCTGCAAAAGAAAGGGGCTGAAGGCAGGGAGCCAAGTGATCTGGCTCAGTGGGACCCACCCTCACAAAGATCAGCAAACTGAGTCCCACTGGCTTGAGATTTTTGCAGCCAGCACAGCAGTTTGAGCTCACTGTGGGGAGGGGCGTCCATCATTACTGAGGCCTGTGTAAACAAAGTCGCAAGGAAGTTTACACAGCAGCTGGGTGGAGCCTTTGGCAGCTCAGCAAGACCTCTGCAGGCAGACTGTGACTAGACTCCCTCCTTGCTGGGCAGGGCATCTCTGAAAAAAGGCAGCAGCCCAACTGGGACTTAAAAATAAAGCCCCACCTTCCAGGGTCAGAGCACCTGGGAAAAGAGGCGATTGTGAGTCCCACTTCAGCAGATTTAAATGTCCCTACCCAGCAGCTCTGAAGGGAGCAACAGAGCTCTCAGCACAGCACTTGAGCTCTGAAAAGGGACAAGCTGCCTCCTCAAGTGGCTCCCTGACCTCTGTATATCCTTAGAGATACTTCATACAGGAGAGAACTCTGGTTGACATCTGGTGGGTACCCTTCTGGGACAAAACTACCAGAGGAAGGAACAGGCAGCAATCCTTATTGTTCTACAGCTGCTGTGGGTGATCCCCAGGCAAGCAGGGTCTGAACTGGACCTCTAGCAGTCCTGCAGCAGAGGGGCCAGACTATTAGAAGGAAAACTAAAAAATGGAAAGAAATAGCTACAACATCAACAGGAAGGACGTCCACTCAGAGACCCCATCTGAAAGTCACCAACTTCAAAGACCAAAGGTAGATAAATCCACGAACATAGGAAGAAACCACACAAAAGGGCAGAAAACACCAAAAACCAGAATGCGTCTTCTCCTCCAAGAGATCACATCTCCTCACCAACAAGAGAACAAAACTGGATGGAGAATGAGTTTGACGAATTCACAGAAGCAGGCTTCAGAAGGTGGGTAATAACAAACTTCTCTGAGCTAAAGGAACATGTTCTAACCCAATGCAAACAACCTTGAAAAAAAGGTTAGATGAAATGCTAACTAGAATAACCAGCTTAGAGAAGAACAAAAATGACTTGATGTTTCTGAAAAATACAGCATGAGAACTTTCCGAAGCATACACAAGTTTCAGTAGCCAAATTGACCAAGCAGAAGAAAGGATATCAGAGACTGAAGATCAACTCAATGAAATAAAATGAGAAGGCAAGATTAGAGAAAAAAAAAAAACTGAAAAGAAATGAACAAAGCCTCCAATAAATATGGGATTATTTGAAAAGACCAAATCTACATTTGATTGGTGTACCTGAATGTGATGGGGAGAATGAAACCAAGTTGGAAAACTTTTCAAGATATTACCCAGGAGAACTTTCTCAACCTAGCAAGGCAGACCAACATTCAAGTCCAGGAAATATGGAGAACACCACAAAGATATTCCTCAAGAAGAGCAACCCCAAGGCACATAATTGTCAGATTCACCAGGGTTGAAATGAAGGAAAAAATGCTAAGGGGAGCCAGAGAGAAAGGTTGCATTAACCACAAAGGGAAGCACATCAGACTCGCAGAGGATCTCCTGTCAGAAACCCTACAAGCCAGAAGAGACTATGCGCCAATATTCAACATCCTTAAAGAGAAGAACTTTCAGCCCAGAATTTCATATCCAGACAAACTAAGCTTAATACATGAAGGAGAAATAAAATCCTTTATGGACAAGCAGTTGCTGAGAGATTTTGTCACCACCAGGCCTGCCTTACAAGAGCTCCTGATGGAAGCATTAAACATGGAAAGGAACAACCAATACAAGCCACTGCAAAAACATACCATATGGTAAAGACCATCAACACAATGAAGAAACTGCATCAACTAACAGGCAAAACAATCAGCTAATATCAAAATGGCAGGATCAAATTCACACATAACAATATTAACCTTAAATGTAAATGGGCTAAATGCCCCAATCAAAAGATACAGACTGGCAAATTGGATAAAGAGTCAAGACCCATCAGTGTGCTGTATTGAGGAGACCCATCTCATGTGCAAAGACACACATGGGCTCAAACTAAAGGAATGGAGGAAGATTTACCAAGAAGATGGAGAGCAAACAAAAGCAGGGGTTGCAATCCTAGTCTCTGATAAAACAGAATTTAAACCAACAAAGATTAAAAGAGACAAAGAAGGGCATTATATAATGGTAAAGGGATCAATGCAATAAGAAGAGCTAACTATTCTAAACATATACACACCCAATACAGGAGCACCTGTTCTTAATGACCTACAAAGACACTTAGACTCCCACACAATAATAGTGGTAGACTTTTTCACCCCACTATCAATATTAGACAGATCAATGAGACAGAAAATTAACAAGGATATCCAGGACTTGAACTCAGCTCTGGACCAAATGGACCTAATAGACATCTACAGAACTCTCCATCCCAAATCCACAGAATATACATTCTTCTCAGCACCACATCACACTTACTCTAAAATTGACCACATAATTGGATGTAAATCACTCCTCAGCAAATGCAAAGCAATGGAAATCATAACAACCAGTCTCTCAGACCACAGTATAATCAAATTAGAACTCAGGATTAAGAAACTCACTCAAAACTGCACAACTTCATGGAAACTGAACAACCTGCTCCTGAAAGACTACTGGATAAATAATGAAGTGAAAGCAGAAATAAAGACATTCTTCGAAACCAGTGAGAACAAAGACACAACATACCAGAATCTCTGGGACACACTTAAATTTATGCAGCCAACAAACATATGAAAAAACGCTCATCATCACTGGTCATTAGAGAAATGCAAATCAAAACCACATTGACATACCATCTCATGCCACTTAGAATGGTGATCATTAAAAAATCTGGAGACAACAGCTGCTGGAGACGATGTGGAGAAATAGGAATGCTTTTACACTGTTATTGTGAGTGTAAATTATTTCAACCATTGTAAAATACAGTGTGGGGATTCCTCAAAGATCTATAAATAGAAATACCATTTGACCCAGCAATCCCACTGCTGGGTATATGCCCAAAGGATTATAAATCATTCTATTATAAAGACACATGCACACATATGTTAACTGCGGCACTGTTTACAATAGCAAAGACTTGGAACCAACTGAAATGCCCGTCAATGATAGAGTGGGTAAAGAAAATGTGGCATGTATACACCATGGAATACTATGCAGCCATTAAAAAGGATGAGTTTGTGCTCGATTCAGCAACATGTATACTAAAATTGGAACGATATAGAGAAGATTAGCATGGCCCCTGTGCAAGGATAACATGCAAATTTGTGAAGCCTTCCATATTAAAAAAAAATAAGGATGAGTTCATGTCCTTTGCAGGGACATGGATGAAGCTGGAACCATCATTCTTAGTAAATTGACACAAGAACAGAAAACCAAACACCACATTTTCTCACTCATAAGTGGGTGTTGAACAATGAGAACATAGGGATACAGGGAAGGGAACATCACACATCAGGGCCTTTTGGGGGGTTGGGGAGCTAGGGGAGGAATAGCAGGGAGTGGGGGGATTGGGGAGGGATAACATTAGAAGAAATACCTAATGTAGGTGACGGGGTATGGATGCAGCAAACCACCATGGCATGTGTATACCTATGTAATAGTCCTGCATAATTTGCACATGTTCCCCAGAACTTAAAGTATTATAAAAAATGAAACAAAAGCAAATACACAATGTTTGAAAAAATAAACAGTTGAAAGGAATTTACAGTGAGCACACATATATCTACCACCTAGAGTCTACAATTAACATCTTACAATACTTGTTTTATCATACTTCTCTCCATCCATTTGAGATTAAATTTTTTTTTCATCTTTTTGCCTTATGTACTACTTATTAAGATATTTTATCCAACATCAACATGTTCAAAGAAGAAAACCAAATAGGCTTTTTACATGGGGAGGGGGCATCCTACTTGGGCCTATTATGTCTAATAAAAACCTCAACTGCCAATTCTCCACGCCATCTTCAAAAAAAATGTATAGTTTCATATTTAGGTAAGAACCCAAAGGAAGGAAACAGGAGGATTATTTTTGTGTTTGTTTAAGCACTGTTGACATGAACCGACATGGAGAATGTATTTTTTTCAAAAAGAAGACAAAGAAAAGAGAAAGACTTGGCTGTTTTTAAAAGCCCTAACATAAAACAAAAACTACGAAAAAAAAAAGTTTAAACAGCTCTGATTGCTGGTTTCAGTTGTGTGCTCTGCACTTGAAGAAATGCCCAAGGAAACAGATATGATCTTAACACCAAATAAAGGTTTGTCTCCCTGAAGGGCCAAAGGTTTCTGTATCAAAGGCAGAGAAGGCACTGCAATACTATCATCTGGAATAGAAGCTTTTTGGACGATAATAATAAACATCTTGCAATAGTATTGAATTACATGTTCCAAATGTAGTCATTCAAGTATCCTTTCACTTTACTTGCCTCAGGATATTAATAGTTTTCTTTAAACTAACTTTTCCTTTACTTAGATACATATATTTTCAAAAGAGATCTTTCATCATTCCCATGAGTAGAAAATCAGGAGTATTTGTCATAAACAGAAAGTACCTTTGAAAACTAGTGCCATGCAAACCAAACAACGTTGTTAACTTTTAGCTCTATCCTAGAGCTTGACAAAAGCTCTGAACCTGGGTCTGTTCTCTGTTTAAATAAGAAAATTAGCAAGACAGGCAAGAATTAGAGAACTGTTAAAATTTTCAAGTGGAAACCCTTCTTGATTTAATTGGAAGGACTGGAAGATAATTTAAATCTCTTTGTATGTGACTCATGTAATATAAAATCAAGTCCTTGTACTATTTTGTGTACCACCATGGTATATAACCCATACTGGGTTTCCATCTCAAGAAGCAAGTAAAAGAAACACAAATGAAACAGATCAAAAAACCAAAAGACTGGAAATTAAAAAAAAAAGAGTGAGAAATCAATTAAATAGAAATGGAGGTAGAAACAAAATTGGAATAACACAAAAAATTGTTTATTGGAAAGATCCATAAAATTGATAAAGTCTGTAGAATTAAGAAGGAAAAAAAAAGTCACAAATGACCTATTTCAGGAACTTCAAAAGAGGTATAGATGCTAAATTTAAAAACAAAAATGCCAAAAAATTTTACATCATTGTTGAAATGAACAAATTCCTTGAGAAATACAAATTATTTAAACTGACACAAGAGAAAATAGGAAAAATAAGTAATCCTATATTGATTTAAAAAACTGAATCTGTAATTAAAACCTCCCCACCCCAGAAAACAGAACAAAACCATAGGCTTGGATGGTTTTGTTGATAAATTTTTCTGAATACTCAAGGAAAAGTTAATATACTTTTCAAGAAGAATGAGAAAACAATTTCAAATTTTCAGGTTTTATGAGGCCAGCATAATTCTAATATCAAAAACTGCCAAGGACATTCTATGAAAGGACTATTATAGGTCTCTGTGTTTTAAGAGTGACATTACAATCCCAAACAAAGTAACATTAATAAATTGAATCTACTGATAAAGAAACAAGATTATACATTATGACCAAGTGAAGTTTTTACAAAACTACAAAACTGATTTATTACTCAAAAATTGGTCAAAGTAATTCACCAAATTAACAAAATAAAAGAGAAAAATCATAGTATCACCTCAATATATGCAGAAAAACCATTTGACAAAATTCAAGTTATGCATGATAAAATCTCTTAGTAAACTAGAACAAGACGGAAAATTCCTTAATCTGGTAAAGTGTACCTATAAAATTCTTAAGGTTAACATTAAATAAAGGGTAAAATATTGATGTTCTTATCCCTAAGCCAGAAATAAGACAAGAATGCCCACTATCACCTTTGGTATTAAGCATTATGTTGGAGGAACTAGCTAGTTAATTAAGGCAAAAAAAAAATATATGTAAAGCTTGGAAATGAAGAAGTGACAGTATTTTTAATCACAGACAATATAGTGGCACATACCTACATTTATCCAATTACCTTGCTAATTTGAATTAGATATTCAACATTGTTAAGATGTCAATTCTCTCCAAATTGACCTGCAGATTCAATGAAGTTCCAATCACAATTCTAGTAGATTTTTTTGTGCAAATTCACAGTATTTTTATGGAAATGCAAATGTCCTAGAATAACCAAGATAACCCTGAAGAAATATGCAAAACTGAAGGATTTACACAACCAAATTTTAAGATTTGCTATAAAGCACGGTGATTCATACACTGTGGTACTGGCCTGAAGACAGGCAAATACACCAACAAAATAAACTAGAAAGCCTAGAAATATGCCTGCATACCTACAGTTACTTGATGTGCAATAACAACACAAAGGCAGAATTAGAATCTTTTTAGTGATGGTGTAACAGCAATGTATATCCATATAGAAAAAAGAACATTGCCTTTTACATCAGGCACAAAATATTATTTTGAGATTGATAGTAAAAATTGCATGTGAAGGATGAAACAATAAAGCTTCTAGAAGAAACATAGAAGAATATTTTTATAAACTTGGATTAAGCAGAGATTAAATAGGACACAGAAAGCACTAACTGTAAAATGTTAATTAATTGGACATCACTAAAATCAAGAACTCTACTCATCAAAAGTCAGACACCATTAAAGGAGTGAAAAGGCAAATAAGAGCCTGGGAGAAAATATTAACATTTGCATACATCCAACAGAAGACTTACATCCAGAATGTATAAAGAATTCCTGTAAATCAATAAGAAAAAAGACTAACACCCAAATAATAAGTGAGCAAATAAATTAGGTGGTGTGGTGCCACACAAGCACCTGTACTTCTAGCTACTCAGGAGTCAGAGGCAGCAGGATCACTTGAGCCAAGGAGTTTTAGGCTGTAGTGAGCTAGGACTGCTCCACTGCACTCCAGCCTGGGCAACAGAGTAAAATCCTGTCTCTGAAAACAAAGAAACAAGAAAGGTCAGAAGACATGAACAGACACATGGCAAAAGGATATTCAAATACCTAATTGTCTAATAAACGTATGGAAAAGTGCTCAACATTATTACTCATAAGGGAAATAGAACTTAAAACCACAACGAAATAACGCTGTATACTCATCATAATGGCTAAATGTAAAGACTGATGATACAAATTATGGTTAAGATATCAAGCAACTGAAACTCTCATATTGATGGTGAGAGTATAAATCCCTATGGTCCTGGGAAGCTGTTTGGCATTATACAGTAGTGCTAAATGCATAACTATATTTTGACCCAGCAACCCCACTCTTCAGTGTATATTCAAGAGAAATGAAGCTGCTGTCTACTAGAAGACATATACAAGAATGCTCATAGCAGCTTTTTTCAATAATAACCAAAAATTGGGAACAATCCAAATGTCCACCAACAGAAGAAGAGGTAAATAAATCTTGGCCTATTTATACAATACTACACAGTAATAAAAAATACACAGAATGACATATGTGAATCTCACAAATATTAAGCTTAGTAAAAGAATCTAGACAAAATAGAGTACATATTTTATGATATCATTTATATGAAAGTCGAGAAGAGGAAAATGGTGTACTTCATTTCATAGCAATTAATCTCAAATGTGCACAAAAGTTGCATATCTAGAGTACATAAAAATAAGAGAATCTCTGTTCTTTCAGTAGACATGATCAAAAGGATCAATTCCATTAACCCTTCTGAATGCCTGCCTTATAATCTAATCACAATTTAGCTGGGAAGACTGAGTAGGAGCACAACGTTCTTGCCAAAAAAAAAAAAAAAAAAAAAAAAAAAAGCCCACAGCAGCACATTACATATCAGAGCCTGTTGTGGACTAATGTTTTCAGATAACCACTGGGTGCCCACCCCAGCCCAGGATTTTCCTGCAGCTCTTCCTCCCACTCCAGCTTGTGGGGAGTTCAGTGTACTTTATCTCAGGGTGGGAACTACACGGCAGAAAGGGAGGGAAGCTTTTTTAGGTCTAAATGCCTATAGAGCCACAGCAGGGACCAGAAAGAACATAGGAGGTAGGACAAAAGATTTCAAAGAACACATAATGGCTCAGAGCCAGTTTTACCCCCCTCCAAACTAGCTTTACATAATTCCTAGATGAATGGCAGAAGAGGAATGGAAGGAAATATAAAAAGCTGGGCCCCTAAAGAGGTGCCCCCACTATTATTCTACCTCCCCCACTCTCCTCCTCTCACTCCTTGCCCTGCCTTCCCTGGGGATGGAGGGAGGAAGGGCAGAAACCCAACTAGGTTTGAGGAATCCAAGTGCAGAGGGCATCTATTCTTGCTTTCCAAGTAGAACCGGGGGATGGTAAGC